GGTCCAGTTAGCAACACGGTCCTGTTGGCAGCATGGTCCAGTTAGCAACATGGTCCAGTTAGCAACACGGTCCAGTTAGCAACACGGTTCTGTTGGCAGCATGGTCCAGTTAGCAACACGGTCCAGTTAGCAACACGGTCCTGTTGGCAGCATGGTCCTGTTGGCAGCATGGTCCAGTTAGCAACACGGTCCAGTTAGCAACACGGTCCTGTTGGCAGCATGGTCCAGTTAGCTGCGTTAGCAGGTGTTGCTAACTAACAAAACACTCAAAGAAACGATCAATGGAACCGTTATTGGGTGCATATTTCCTCTGTGAGTGTTCCTACGTATAACGGCTAAAATAAAAATACCAGATGCATCGATGTGAACTCCTCACACCTTCTGTGATGGTGCCTGCACTGTCAGCGAAGTGAAGAGTCACTTCAGCTCCTCGGACCCAGTTAACCTCAAAGTTCCTCAAAGGTTGGCTGTTATCTCTGAAATGTAACGAAAGATAATAAACTTCGCCTGTTAACTTTTTATCTGTTAACTTTTTATCTGTTAACACCTTTCAACGTTGCATTCTTCTTCTCCTTTTTGTGTCTGAACACTGATGTTTGCAAAAGTCACAGAACAACATCCACTGATGGACACTTTATTTTATTACAAGCACTTCTTATTCATAGGGATTATTTTACAGTTTATTTTCCATCATGTTTGCCATCCCTGGCTTCTGTGTCTCTTCAGGCTGTTTAAAATGATAAACGTGCACAGTAAAGGGACCGTGCACTCAAGAGAACTTGTTCATGTGCGACACTGTTGAACAGTGGAGAAAAATTCAAGAGTTGGATTGAAAGAGAGGTAAAAGAGAAAAATCTGAGCGAGGACACTTTACAGGATTTTTGGAAGAATCAGCAATTCCTAAAAGTGTCTGACAAAAACTAATGCATCATTTTACAAAGATAAGTTAGAAAACATTCATCCTTTTACAGTTATGAAGGACAAACTGGTTAAAGCTGTAGAGGCTGAAAAATCAAAGATTTGTGAATGGATGATTTAATATTATTGATTGTTTATCTCCATTTTTAACTAGACCAGCTTTAGAGTTTTAATGCAAATATCTTAAAAATGCATTTTAAAAGAGGGGCTTGTATAGTTTAGTCTGTGTCACTGATAAAAGTTGATTTATTTCAGAGTAATAAATCAACTTTTGAACCTACGCTAACTTGTTTTCCATTAAAACAATTCAACGTGCAGATTCAGTCACATCTCTTACAGATTTTCACCTTCAGGCCGCAGGTTTTTTTTTCTTGCGCCAGGACTTTTTATAGAGACTCACAATCACTGATCTGTTTTTTTATTATTATTTTTTAACTACCAATTCACAAATCTTTCTTTTACTGTTTTAACCAGAACCGGTCTCTTGTCCGCACTCCGTCTCATCTCTGCAGTAAGTGGCGTCCACCTCGTGTCCTGAAGGTGTTTGGAGGCTGTGGAGGGCTGATAAAAGTTTATGCAGCTGTTTCTTGAGTAGCTGAGTCCCACAGAGCAGCAGTATCACTGTCGAGGACGTAATGCTTTGCTAGATTAGCACATTTAAAAGTATCTACAGATATTTCAGAAATGATAACTTCTGCCTAAATGTATGCCTTTCTCTCCGGGTGACTCTTCCCCAGAACCTCGTCACTGAACTGGTATGTCAGCTTCTTCTTGATTTTTTTAACCTCTCCAGTTTTGCCGTAGTTGCGCAAAGCACGAGCCATTTTTTGGTAGGTCATCTTTTTGCGGTTTCCTTTCTGGATTCCCCAGCGGTGGGCGAGTGCCTCTTTGTGTTTGGAAGAAAACTGGAATGTCCCCTTGTCTCTGTCCACCCACCAGATGCTATCCTTCATGTCACCATTCCTTAAGAGGTCCAACAGGAACTGGTACAGACGGATCTTCTTTTTATTCCCTTTGGAAACAATGTAGCGTTAGAACTGGTTCAGTCTCACTGTTGTAATGCGTCAACACAAAGCAACAAAATGTCTCATTACTCACTTGGTTTACAGAAAAAAGGCAGAACAAAACACCAATTGTGCACATGTTGTTTTTTAAAAAATGTGTATTTGTTAGTTTTCTATTAATATCCTGTTAAAAACTAAATACACAACTATGGTATCCCTGTGAAGTCAGTTCAAGTAAAAAGTAATGTAACATTTCCCAAAATGACAAATAAGTTCTGCTTTCAGTGCCAGTTAGTCAGGACATTACTGCAGCTGAAGTGCAAGCCAAATTACTGGCATACAAAAAATAAATAAAAACCTACTTAAGAAGGTATTTTATGTAACCACCAGTCAGGCTCTGCTGGTTCTCATGAATGCTAATGCAGCCTGAGACAGTTGCTTTTTAAACAGCCGTGAATCAAACTATAGTTGTGCAAGAGAAAACGACACCTCCTAGAATTACGTGTGTCGTCCTCTGACACCGGCTGTCAGACACGGGCTCCGACATTTCTGCACTGGAGCAAAATTCACTTCACAAATTTCTGGTGAACAAAGGTGTCATTTTATAGATTAACAGGCGGCTTTTATTCCACACTGCAGATTTAAACACTTAGTTTGGGCCTGCAAGTTTTTATTAAACCTCCCAATTCTTGAAAAAAAAAAAAAAAAAAAGCAGGCATTCTATTTAACAAAACTAGATCAGGTCCATTGGACAGATAAAAAAAAAACGTTGAAAGGTTTTGTTTTTTTATCCAAAGGACTTCTTCAGTTTGAGGAGCTGCAACAAACTCAGTCTTATAAATAGCACAGTCACTTGCTATTCTCAGTGAGTGATACTAGCGATACCAGCATTGTAAGAGGGGGACAGTTGATGATGGCCACTGTGAACAGCAAGCAGCCATCAGAGCACTAATGATCGGTCATTAGGCTGATGGTCCTCCTTGATCATGTGAACAGCTGGTTCTGGATGTCAATAACAAACTGGTTGATCCACTATGATGAGGTGCTTTTTATAAGACTGAGTTTGTTGCAGCTCCTTGCACTTTGGTAACAGTTTCTGTTTTACATATGCTATATAAATAAATCTGACTTGACTTGGCTCCTCAGACTGAAGAAGTCTTCTGGATAAAAGATGAAACGTAAAAAAAATTTGAATTCATCCAGACGACCTGAATTGACATTGTTAGAATTTTCTTCCTGGATTACTGAGAATGCATCAGGATCCAGGTAATCTATTCTTTAGCTTATTTTAAAGTGTTTAGGAGCAAACAGGAAGAAAGCTGTGATGCCCTCAGATCAGGGGTGTCCAAACGTTTTCATCATGGAGCTACTTTTAAAACGACCAAGTCAAAGTGATCTACCTGCTATAAGGCCCTGTTTACATGAGATCAACCTCTGGAAACGTCACCGTGTTTTTAATGTTTATTAGGGGGGAATACGCAAAAAATAAGCGGGTTTACATGAAAACGTTGTAGTTTTTTATGTCAGTCGGGTTGCCAGATAAGAGATGATGAACTATAGTACTGTAGCTTGTTCATGCAAAGGCTAATAAAACATTAGACATCAAGCTCTGTTTGTGCTTGTAAATATTCATATTCTTTGTAGGGGGAGTGGTGGCGCCGAGGTTAGAAGATGGGCTTGTGATCGGAAAGTTGCAGGTTCACCTCCCTCCACCCTCATTCGTCCCACTCTGGAGCCCTGAGCAAGGCCCTCAACCCCCACCATCTGCTCCCTAAACAGGTCTCTCTTGAAAATGAGTTCTCGTGGCTCAATGAGACTAACCTGGATAAATAAAGGCTAAATGAATAAAAAAATAACCGTGTAAAGAGAAACTGCAAGTTAACGGTACCAGAAACGTTTGTGCCAACAACTTGCAGTTGTTTCAAAATGGCCGTAATCAACATTGCGAAAATAATCTATTTCTCCACCTGAGGCTTTTCAAATCACTTTTATATCACGTGGCATATGATTTATTCATATTTCCACAAATCCACACTACAGAAGATCTGAGCTTTCAGTTGCGAGCAAAACTCAAAGTTGACAGGAAAACTATAAAATGAAGACACTTGTTTTTTATCCAGAAAAAGAGCAGATCTCTATTTTGTAATTTAGGATGTGTGGTTAAAATGTCATACGACTGAATAAATGTTTCAATATGAAAGCAGCTGGCAGGTTATTTGAACTTGTCATCAATGGATCCTTGACCTTTCGGGTCAACACAGATTGTTGACATACACCCAACATAAGTAGTCACTAAGTGCCGTGTGAGATGAGTGGATCCATACCCAGCTCTCCAGGTGTGAAGTAAGGGACTCGGTCTCTCAAGCATTCTTCATCAGACACTTCCAGAGGGGGACTTCGCCCTCCTTGCTCCTCATCATCAGTGCTGCGCTGGGAGACATGTGGTGGATACACGGCCCGAGGAAAAAAGGCCACCTGCATTGATGTGAAGAAAATGAGAGCTAATCTCACGTTGATACAAATCTAAATTCATTCATCACATAAAGTGCCAAGTAAAATCATTTTGATAAAAACAAAACAAACCAAAGAAGAGGAGACGATCACCATTAGAACCATTAATGTACAGCTCAGTGCATTTTTAAAAAATAAGCTTGATTTATTCAAGTGTGTCCGACTGAATCAGAACGTTGTTACTCTCACAGTAACTGGTACAACATTAGATGAGTAGACAAAAGAAGACCAGAAGAAAATTACTGACAAGACCGGAAAGAATAGTCATTCAGCACAGAAAACTTTTACATGTAAGAGCCCTTTAAACTGGAACCAGTTCAGTAGCCATCCTAACATTTGTGGTCGTTTTAGCTGCTTGTATTTAGTTATTTTATTAAATAATGCTTTATTTTTTTTGTAAATAAAGTATGGCGTCCAGCTTGTCATCCTGTTGTAAGGAGTGCACATTCTCTTGCTTAATTAAGGAAGACCTTCCCTTTGCAGACATGTTCTCTGGATTACGTTGCTTCAGAACCCAAACGCATCAATGAGCTTACTCATGCACGCTCACAAGTGAACAACATGCACTTTCAACAAGCAAAATGACTCCAGATGCTCGTCAACCAAGTAAATAAAATAACTAAATAGCTTTGAAAGAACAAATTTCAAATTCAAGAATAAACTTTTCTCTGTGTGGATCACAGAGAAACTGAGCTCAGCCAGTTTCATTCAACCTTTATTTAAACATATAAATCACATTGAGCCTCGAAGACTCATTTACAAGTGAGACCTGTTTGGACAAACAATAAAGTGGTTAACTGGACACATGTTGGAGATGGAGGTGAAAAAAATTCCCATCAGATTTTTTTTTCTTGCCTGAGGACAAAAAACTCTAATATTAAAAAACACCTTGCACAAAAAAGCACATAGTGACGTAGACATTCTGCAGAGGGGGGAGACGAGAGCGGTGAGCATGTTCATAGATGCTCTTGAGGTCACTGTAAGAGTTCTGATAGGATGTAATAATCAATCAATGTCCATAGACTCTCTCGAGGGCATTATAAGAGTTCTGATAAGGATGTAATGATCAGTCAATGTCCTCCGGTGACATCCATAAACATTCGCGAGGGATGTCGAGAAATGTCCAAGAATAACGTCTATGAGAATCCAAGAGTCCTGAAATGATGACACAAAGTTTATTCAGCTGGTTTCATCTGGTTATCAGTTGGAAATTCCTCAGGGAGGGGGTGGTGAGCGTCAGATCACGTTCTCCAGGTGACTTCAGATAAGATGACCTTCAAGGCCAACCAAGGGAGCCAAATTTAGATAAACACACAGTTGTTTTGGGGACAGGCAGAACTTAATGACATCTACCTTGAGTCTGTGTTGGTCCACTCGGTTCTGAAATGTCCACATTACATGGCCACACTGATGGAACGTGACTAAGTAAAATCCCCAAGATCTGATCCATTCAGCCCAAAGCATTTAAGTCTGGGTACTCGAGGCACGAGCCAAGCCATCATAAAGGCAAGCAGCGTGATCGGGTCCAAATTTGCTGCCGACGACTTCCTTGATTGTAGATAAAACCATCAAGCAGCCGAATCCAAAAAGCAGGAACCAGTTATTGTAAATCCAATTAAATATGCGCCCTTAAAATCCACAGATGGCAGCAGAGATAGACACATCATCAAGTCTTCCAGTCGACGAGATGTCTAGCTGCGTGCGTGCCAACAGGGCAAATCGTCTCGCCTAAAGCCTGTCTTCTCTTGAAGAAATGTTGTAAATTGAGTTGAGGGACCAACTGGTCGAAAATGTTGGTTTAATATTTGATATAATAGAACCAGAGACTGATCCCTGACACATAGGCTGTCTGGAGTGCAGCGTTTCCATTCACTTTTAGCAAACTATGTCTGTCTGTTAGCAAAGTATCTCATAAACCACTGAAATTATTTTAATGAAACTTTAAGGAAATATTTATTTTAACTTTCCAACTGACTATCTTTTGGAAACAACCCAACTCAAGATGGGCACCACAGTTAACTGTCCTCAGACAACACTAAACTAAAATACAGTAAATTTCAAGGACAGTTTATTAAAATTGTTGTGGTTAAGTCTGAGAGTTATTTATAAGACGTGCTCTGAGATTGACCATGACGTTATTCTCAAGGTCTGACCCTGTCGCACCATACCCCCCAAAATAACACACTTTAAAAAAAATAGTTGCGTTGCTTTCCATTGAACGATTCTCGCATGGTGGCAACTTTTTCTCTGCATGAGCTGTGATGTGCGGAGCTGCGCGAGTCGACGGAGAGTATTCACAGAAAATGCTGCTTTCAAACAGGAAAAAAGAATCAAAGTAAAATTAAAGTGTTTCTTGTAACTCGGGGGTTCACTTCCTGATTTCTGTTAAAGGTCCTTGAAGGCCTCCAGTTTCCTGACTCTCCTTTGATTTATTTCCCATAATTTGTAGATATTAAGCCAATATAAAGTTTTATGAGAGATTATTTATCGTCCAGTCAAACACTTTGCGATCAGTTATTTAATGACTCACATGAGAAGTGGTACTGGTGTGTCTGGGTGGACCTACTGGTTGCTGCAGCACGTGCGGATGTGCACCGAGGTTTGGATCGAGCAGGTTTTCGGCGTCGTATCGTATTAGGCCGGGCCCGTGGAGGGCCTGGACGCTCTGGAGCTCCGTGAAGATGGTCTCTTGGAAGCTTTCGAACTCTGCAGGGTGCACGTGAGGGTGTGTGTGGTAGTCCCAGTGATCTGAACAGACAAGGTGAGAAACGTGTTGGTGGCCTTTTCCTGTTTCGTTGGAGTTTCAACACGCAGCGTTATCGGCTGCAGCGGATTTAGATCCACAAAAACTTCCCCTAATAAAGAAAAGTTCAAATGAAGGACAGAGTTTAAAGAAATATCGAGGTTCAGAGCAGAGTCACCACATTGTCTGGGAATTTGTTGTTTTTTTAAAACACATTCAAAACTCATCATTTTCAAAGGTTCAAATCAAATTTAAAACTTTTCAACTATATCACCTCAAAATTAATTTCAAAACTGATTCCATGTCTTTATTTTAATATTACGCTGTTATTCTTCTTCTGTCAGACTATTCTGTGTCTTCATGTGAACATTTTAGGACAACCCTGTTGATAAAAAAATCTTTTTGAAAGTTGATGTCAGTTATTTTTGTCGCCTGCTCCCCTCTCGCCCCTAATTTCAGTTGTTTTGGTGCAATATTCAAAAGAGAAAGTCGGCCTCCTCATGTATCAGCAAAGCCCTTGGGGCGAAACGTGTTCTATGTCTGTAGTTGTAGCGGCCGAAAGAAAAGGCATCTGTTTCCTGTGTTCCATACGTGCTGCGCTCCAGCTGCACACGCTGCTTCTTTTCATGTACGATAAAACCAAAAATGTCTCCGTCCACATCTGGTTCTGAATATTAAAATTAAAATAACCATGGACTGAACAAAAATACAAAGTGATCCATTAAACCTCCTCATTGGATTAAGTTCAAGACATAAAAAAATCTTTTTTTTTTTTTTTTAACCTGCTGTCATGAAGTAACATTAAAATGATTCAAATGACCAAAAGTTAATGTTGAAATAAAACTCACCTGCCTGGATGTCAGCATCTAACACGCATGGGTTATAATATTCAGCAATTTGATGTCTATAGATGTCTGACTCGTACATTTCTTCAGCGTGCTGAAAGATCAAGAAAAGAAAGACATTTTTAGAAACGGTTTTCCTTCCAGCTGTTTGCTGAGCAGCATCAGACGCGACACCAGAGACTCATTTGTTAAAGAATGAACGTTGGGGCTTCTGTGAAATTAACATCACGTTGAAATGGGTTTGGATTTAAATGAGAACAGGCAACATTAGGCTCGTAAGAATGGATATTTCTTTTTTTGGCTCCTCAGTTCTGAAACTCTGGGGTTTCGTTTTCAAGTCGCTTGAAGAATGAAAGACTTACAGTTTGTGTCTTTCACTCAACTTGAAACAGAGACCACATTAAGTCATCTAATCTGAAAAATTACGTCCGTTTTCACAACAATAAAGTGTTTTTTCTTTTAATGCTGTACTAAAGGTAGACACCTCCACACAAAGTGTTTGAAACTTGTTTTGTAGAAAGTGTGCTGCTGGGTTTAGACAGAAATGACTAAAATGAAAAATACTTACAGGAGGGATGAGGTAGCTCTCCATTCTGTGTGGATGCAACATGGAGACCTCTTCTCCAACAAACCGACTCTCAGAAGCTTTGATGGCAAAATGTTCTCACAAGCTTTCAAAACTTTTGCGGCGCCATTGCACAATGTTTCAAAATTTCCTCTCACTCAACAAAAAACTATCAAAAAAAAATAATCTCCCTGTCGTCTCTTATTGTGAAGCTTTTGACCTTAGTTGGGCTGCGAGGCCTTGGGCTCTAACAGACAAAATGAAGTCGAGCGAGGCCCGCTGTTTGTAGGTGAAATGAAAAAGGAACTTTTAACTTCTGTAAAATGTTCTGTAGGTGGGAGCACTGGAGTGTGTCTACAAGTTCCTGGCTATTGATGATTTGTCAGAGAGCTTCATTTATCAGCCTTTATATGCTGCCCCCTCCCTCAGCAGCCAATCAACACCAAGGGCTCCCCTCATTGACAGGTTTTTCTCCAACATATGTCTCAGGTGATAAAAACTGGCTGCAGTGAAAATGTTACTATTTGTCTTTTTAAATGTTTCTTGTTTTAACACATAATGCAACACGAAACATGTATTTGCACACAACAAATTATGTTTACAGATAGGATGGAGCCAAACTCACTTTTTAAAATAATACAATTAAATAATAGAACTGTATGAAGAGAATAATTGAAAAGCAGTTCACAGCAATAATCTCTCTATAAATGTTGGTTTACAGTAAAGGAATTAGCAAAAATGCTATTTATTATTTATGCAAAACTAAACATTCATTCATTCAACCTTTATTTCTACACGTAAATCCCATTGAGCCTCGAGGACTCATTTACAAGAGAGACCTGATTTCAACAAAGAAAGATGACAACAATGGACAGTCATAAAATAGGCATACAATTTTAATTAATTTATTTATTTTACAGGAAGTATAAAATAAACTTTATTTTCACTGAATGCCTAATTATAAAAACATATTTAAATAAGCAAGATGTTGTTTTTTCAATTTAAGCCCTTCCATTGTTCTTCTGAATGGCCTTTTTTTAATTTTAATTTTTGTTTTTGTACCGTGATGAACTTAAAGTCTCAGCGATAGATTTAAAAAAAGACTACTGGGTTCACTGGTCATGTGACATTGTGACTCACTGGAGGGACGGCAGCCATAACCAGAAAGTTATGGACAGACCAACCCCAAAGTCCCCAGACTCAGCTTCCTCCATGGAAGACGTGCTGGTGGGATTGAGAAGGTCCGAGAAGTATTCCTTCCATCTCCCGATGACATCACTGGTTGAGGTCAACATCACCCCACCTTCACTGAGCACACTGTTAGTAAAGTGCTGCTTCCCCCTCCTCAGCCGTCTGACGGCTTGCCAGAATCTCCTCGGAGTCGACCGAGAGTCTCTGTCCAAGGTCTCACTGAACTCCTCCCACATCCGAGCTTTTGCCTCAGAAACAGCCAAGGCTGCGGACCACTTGGCCCTCCAGTACTCCTCAGCTGCCTCCAGAGTTCCACTGGCCAAAAAGGCCCAATAGGACTCCTTCTTCATGTTGACAGCCTCCCTGACCCGGGGTGTCCACCAGGTGTCCACCACCGAGTTCGTGGACGGCCACCGCGAGAAGCACCGACAACCTTGCGGGCACAGCTCAAGACAGCCATCTCAACAAGTGAGGTGCAGAACATGGCCCACTCAGAATCAATGCCCCCCACCTCAGCTGGGATGCAGAAGGTATATTCTATTCTATTCTATTATGTTAATTCATCCATCCATCCATTATCTTTACCCGCTTATTCCATTTTGGGTCACGGGGGTCGCTGGTGCCCATGTCCAGCAATCACTGTGCGAGGGGCG